AAAAAAAAAAAAAAAAACCTCTGTGTACTGTACATTTGGGGCCTTTTTTAATTTTCAATTTTTGTGGGAACATCGGGGGCTTTTTCGGTATTCACAAATGTAGTTCTCCTCTTCAGTCTATCTTCCCAAAAACCCTAATCTCAAAACCCCCATTTCTCTCCGTGCTCTATTCTGAAGGAAACGAAAAAAATCAGCTCCACCGAAATTCATATCTTTTATAATGAGAAATCAATGGCTGCGATTGCTTCTCACGCGCTTCCGCACTCCGTCGCAGCCCTTCGTAAGTCAGGTAAACCACATCCGCTCCTTCTCTTCCTCATTTCTCCACCCACGCGCATCTCAAGCGACGCCGAAACCTTTTGTCATTCGTCAACATTTCTCGTCGTCCCCTGAGCACGCCGTTACGTCGCCCAAGCCTCTCTCCGATGGCGATACTCTGTTGGCGGACATTTTTGCTGGACCTGGAAAATCTAGTGACGAGATTAAGCTAGATTTAGATTCAAAAAACGTTGTTATTACTCATGATCTGGTACTGAGCTTCTTGAAGAATCCCAGTACCGATCCTGATGCAGCCAGGAGGGCATTTGATTGGGTAATGGAGAATCAGGGCGAGAAACTGAGCTCCAAGTCGTATAATTGGATGTTAGGGATTTTAGGCAGCAGGGGATTAGTGAAGGAAACTTGGGATATGATTGGGATTATGAAAAGTAAAGGATATGGTGTGTCGAAGGGTGCCTTTGATCGCATTTATGAGAGATTCCAGAAAGATGGGCTGGCTGATGATGTGGAGAAGCTGAAGGAGTTGTATGCTTCGGGTTCAGCAAGCTGTAAGAAGGATAACCCGAGTAAGGAAAATGATGTAGACTTGACATGTTCTCGGATAACTAATATTATTAGAAGAGAAGTGTGGGTTGATGATGTGGAGAAAAATCTGCAGGAATCGAATGTGAAGTATTCGAGTGATGTGGTTGCAAACGTGTTGGGCAATCTTGGAACCGAGCCCAATAAAGCATTGATTTTCTTTAGATGGGTTCAGGAGAGTGGTCTTTTTAAGCACGATGAGCGGACATTTAATGCAATGGCTAGAGTATTGGCTAAAGAAGATCATAGTCAGAAGTTTTGGAAGTTTGTTAATGAAATGAGAGGTGATGGGCACCAGATTGAGAGAGAGACATATGTTCATATCTTGGAGCGGTTTGTGAAGAGGAAAATGATGAAAGATGCTGTTGATTTTTACGAATTTGCAATGATTGGTGGGAACAAGCCTTTGGCTAGTGACTGCACTTTCCTTCTGAAAAAAATTGCGGTTAGCAAGGAACTGGACATGGATTTGTTTCGGAAAGTCATGGGGGTCTTTAAGGCTAACGAGAATGTACTAACGGATGCCAACTTAAATGCTGTTCTGAAATCTTTGATTAGTGTTGGGAGAATGAACGAGTGCAATAGAATATTGGCAGCCATGGAGGAAGCTGGCTATGTGCCCCACTGTTCTTCAAGAAGTAAGATTGCTTATATGCTTAGTAGTACTGGCAAATCAGAGGAGGCACTGGAGTTTGTGAATAACAAAGCAGCTTCACAGGATACGTCTGATTACAAAACATGGGAGTCTTTAGTTAAAGGATTTTGTGTGGCCCGTGATTTTGATAAAGCATCTAATAGCCTCAGGGAGATGGTCGAGAAAGAAGGACCTGCTTGCGCTGGAAAGGCGCTACATGTTTTGATCGATACATACTGTCGAAAAAATAAGCCTTTGGATGCCTACAAGTTTGTTCTGGATATGGTCAATGACAAAGGCGTGACTATATG